CCCTGTAAACCAGCTGTGTATATTCCCTGTAAACCAGCTGTGTATATTCCCTGTAAACCAGCAGTGTATATTCCCTGTAAATCAGTTATGTATATTCCCTATAAACCAGCTGTGTATTTTCCCTGCAAACCAGCTGTGTATATTCCCTGTAAACCAGCTGTGTATATTCCCTGTAAACCAGCTGTGTATATTCCCTGTAAACTAGCTGTGTATATTCCCTGTAAACCAGCTGTGTATATTCCCTGTAACATTAAATGTTTGTGTTCAGGACTTACTAACACTGTGACTGCTGTAAAGAATGCCCAGATGGCGGAGTCTCCGGTGCTGTTGATAGGTGGGGCTGCTGCTACACTTCTCAAGGTACAAATTTAGTTTTGATATAATAACGAACATGCTATGATGAAACACTCAAAATTGTGAGCTTGTTATTGTGTTCAGAATTTGGTCCTTGGTTACATGTCTTTATAGTTGATTCACAATTTAATATAATTTCTCTTTCATTGATGTGAAAACAATTGCTTAACTCTCAGTCTGCTATGAAGATGTGGAAAATAGAAAATGATCAATAAATTCTGAATACATTGACAAGCTTAATGTTATAAGTTTAAAGCTATATTAAGAAATACAGAATATCAGGAGTAAGTCTTGTGACAGGAGTAAGTCTTGTGACAGGAGTAAGTCTTGTGACAGGAGTAAGTCTTGTGACAGGAGTAAGTCTTGTGACAGGAGTAAGTCTTGTGACAGGAGTAAGTCTTGTGACAGGAGTAAGTCTTGTGACAGGAGTAAGTCTTGTGACAGGAGTAAGTCTTGTGACAGGAGTAAGTCTTGTGAATCTGTTGTCAAATGATTCCCCAAAACAATATAAACAAGTTATATTTATCTTTTAAAATGAAGAAAAGCACAATTTGTTCAAACATCTCATAAAAGAATGTAAATGTTTGGAATGAGAATGTGATATAAATAGCAACTGGATACAATGAGTTGAGCATAGGCTTAATGAGGATCAATAGAATGGCAAATCTACATTATAATATTAAATTCAACACAGAAAAATCTTCAATTAGTACGAGTAGAAGCAAATTCTAAGGTTAGATGTAAATGTTCCTGGTAATAATTACATAAGTCTGGGACTTGAACAGACCTTCTCCGGACTTTGATAGTTATTTTCTATTTATTTTAGGTAAGTTGTTATTTTCTGTCTATTTTAGGGTAGAGGAGCACTACAGGATATTGACCAGATGTCACTGTTCAAGCCCCTGTGTAAATACTGTGCCACAGTGACTAAGATCAGGGATATTGTACCCACACTACAGACGGCTTTACAGATAGCGCAGTCTGGAACTCCTGGTAAGGTCAAGGTCAGAACAGTCAGACACTTAATCATCAGGTCAAGGTCAGAACAGTCTGACACTTAATCTTAAGGTCAATGTCAGAACAGTCCGACACTTAATCTTAAGGTCAAGGTCAGAACAGTCTGACACTTAATCTTAAGGTCAAGGTCAGAACAGTCCGACACTTAATCATCAGGTCAAGGTCAGAACAGTCTGACACTTAATCTTAAGGTCAAGGCCAGACCAGCCTGACACTTAATCCTAAGGTCAAGGTCAGAACAGTCTGGCACTTAATCCTAAGGTCAGAACAGTCTGACACTCAATCATAAGGTCAAGGTCAGAACAGCATGACCCTTTATCCTAAGGTCAAGGTCAGAACAGTCTGACACTCAATCATAAGGTCAAGGTCAGAACACTCACTGTCTGACACTTAATCCTAATGTCAGACTTACTTTCTGACTACAGATTAAACATTTAAGACTCCAAGTAAGATCTAGGTCATGTTCGGTTTTGAACTGCAGGAAACACAAACTCCGGATAAGATCAAGGTCATGCCTCCGTAGGAACTCCAGGTAAGGACAAGGTTAAGTCCATTTGGAACTATAAGTCCATTTGGAACTATAGGTTAAGTCCATTTGGAACTATAGGTTAAGTCCATTTGGAACTATAGGGTAAGTCCATTTGGAACTATAGGGTAAGTCCATTTGGAACTATTAGTTAAGTCCATTTGGAACTATAGGTTAAGTCCATTTGGAACTATAGGGTAAGTCCATTTGGAACTATAGGTTAAGTCCATTTGGAACTGTAGGTAAGATAAGGTTGTCACGGTCTGGAATTGCCTACTGTATCTAATACATGATCTGATACTTTGTTTTCTCAGGGCCAGTGTTTGTGGAGTTTCCCATTGACAGCCTGTACCCCTACCAGACTGTCAGTAAAGAGATTGGCATCAAGGAAAAGGGCCCACTTAGCCTGATGCAGAGGATCACTAACTGGTGGGGAATGTTTGTCATTTCACTCAAAGCCAGAAATTAAAATAGAATATTGGGTCTCATATATAGAGAAAACCTGACCAAATCTAATAATAGATCATTGGAACTGCTATAGAGACCACACAACCAAGTCTTATACTAGAAAAATCATATATAGAGAAAACAAACATTATTGCATGGGCATCTCTTGTAGGAACAACACATTTGACTTCGATCTTTGATTGGTTCTTTAAACTGACACCAAAATAATATCTGATACCACCTTTTATGTTGTTTAGTTGACAATAGTTTAACCAGAGAATGAGTTAAATATGAAATGTCATTTCAGGTATCTCTCTAATTACTTGAAAAATCTGTTTGCTGGAGCTTTTGAGGAAAGGGATATGAGTCCATTAGCAATTGACATCAAGAAACCAAGTTCTTCTCAAGGTATTCCTGATAGGTTCTACACAATAGGGTTTGAGAAAGCATTTTACATAAAAAGAATATTGAATTCTTACGTGCTGATTCCATTTGGAAAATTAGATACAGTTATAGATCATAACAGCCATAACCATGTTGTGGGCTGTGTGGACATTGAAAGCTCCAGTCCATCATTCCTAGTTTCCTTTTGTACAATTGCAATATTACTGTAAACTCCTCAATCTGTCATTGTTTTATACTTTTAATTGTAATTGAAAACTGTGTTTACAGTGTATATAACAGAAGCTATAAACATTGACTTCCATTCTGTCAAAAATTCTGTAACAACTGTCTATTGAACCAGCTACCATTAGTGAGGGGAGGTAACTCAATATCTTAAAAATATTTTAACTATGATCAAACCTACACTTCACTTCTAATTAACTCAAAGGAAATGTTTTTGATGTATTTTACAGTCCAGAAAGGTATAGAAATGCTTTCCAAGGCAAAGAAACCTGTGATTCTTATTGGTAGTCAAGCCACACTTCCCCCAATCCCTGTTGAGGAGCTGAGAAAGGCATTAGAGGTATTATATATGACTGGCCAGCCTTTCTGAACTGAGAGGTGTAAATCATTGTCAACATTCGTTAGTTAGTTTGAGAGTTGAAGATTATAGTCGGTAATTGTAAGCACTTGTGCCAAAGGTGTAGATGTCAGCTTGTGTCGGTCAAGTTGTATCTTTGTAACTAATACTAGGATGATGATCTCATGCAGTATAATGCCAATTGAAAATTGTAGAATACTATAGAAAATCTCCAGCAATACAGAATCAATAGGAAATCTCCAGAAATACAGAGTCAATAGAAAATCTCCAGCAATACAGAGTCAATAGGAAACCTCCAGCAATACAGAGTCAATAGGAAATCTCAAGCAATACAGAGTCAATAGGAAATCTCCAGCAATACAGAATCAATAGGAAATCTCCATCAATACAGAGTCAATAGGAAATCTCCAGCAACACAGAATCAATAGGAAATCTCCAGCAATACAGAGTCAATCGGAAATCTCCAGCAATACAGAGTCAATAGGAAACCTCCAGCAATACAGAGTCAATAGGAAATCTCCAGCAACACAGAATCAATAGGAAATCTCCAGCAATACAGAATCAATAGGAAATCTCCATCAATACAGAGTCAATAGGAAATCTCCAGCAACACAGAATCAATAGGAAATCTCCAGCAATACAGAATCAATAGAAAATCTCCAGCAATACAGAAACAATAGAAAATCTCCAGCAATACAGAATCAATAGGCAATCTCCAGCAATACAGAGTCAATAGGAAATTTCTAGCAATACAGCGTCTATAGGAACTCTCCAGCAATACAGAGTCAATAGGAAATCTCAAGCAATACAGAGTCAATAGGAAATCTCCAGCAACACAGAATCAATAGGAAATCTCCAGCAATACAGAATCAATAGGAAATCTCCAGAAATACAGAGTCAATAGGAAATCTCCAGCAATACAAAGTCAATAGGAAATCTCCAGCAATACAGAATCAATAGAAAATCTCCAGCAATACAGAATCAATAGGAAATCTCCAGCAATACAGAATCAATAGGAAATCTCCATCAATACAGAGTCAATAGGAAATCTCCAGCAATACAGAGTCTATAGGAAATCTCCAGCAATACTGAGTCAATAGGAAATCTCAAGCAATACAGAGTCAATAGGAAATCTCCAGCAATACAGAGTCTATAGGAAATCTCCAGCAATACAGAGTCAATAGGAAATCTCAAGCAATACAGAGTCAATAGGAAATTGCAACATATGAAAAAACAATGGGAAATATATAATGATGATGATTTCTGCAACATTGGACAAAATGTGTATATTTTTTTAAGTAACTGTGTTGATATGTGTTTTCTCCTAGGACATTGGTGTGCCTTGTTTCCTGGGTGGTATGGCAAGAGGACTTCTGGGCAAACATAGCTCAATACAGGCACGACAGAAGAGGGGCGAGGCACTTAAGGAGGCTGATGTTGTCATCATGGCTGGTAGGACACTCACCCACAACTAATGTCATAATGGCTGGCAAGACACTCACCCACAAATAATGTCATTATGACTGGTAGGACACCAACCCACAAATAATGTCATTATGGCTTGTAGAACACTCACCAACAAATAATGTCATCATGACTGGTAGGACACTCACCCACAAATAATGTCATTATGGCTAGTAGGACACCAACCCACAAACAATGTCATTATGGCTAGTAGGACACTCACCCACAAATAATGTCATTATGGCTAGTAGAACACTCACCCACAATTATGGCTAGTAGGACACTCACCAACAAATAATGTCATTATGGCTAGTAGAACACTCACTCACAAATATTGTCATTATGGCTAGTAGAACACTCACCCGCAAATAAAATTATTATGACTGGTAGGACACTCACCCACAAATAATGACATTATGGCTAGTAGAACACTCACCCACAAATAATGTCATTATGACTCGTAGGACAATCATCAACAAATAATGTCATTATGGCTAGTAGGACATTAACCAACAAATAATGTCATAATGTCATTATGACTGGTAGGACACTCAACCACAAATAATGTCATTATGGCTAGTAGGACCCTCACCCACAAATAATGTCATAATGGCTGGCAAGACACTCACCCACAAATAATGTCATTATGACTAGTACAACACTCACCTACAAATAATGTCATTATGGCTAGTAGGACTCTCACCCACAAATAATGTCATAATGGCTGGTAGGACACTCACCCACAACTAATGTCATAATGGCTGGTAGGACACTCACCCACAACTAATGTCATAATGGCTGGTAGGACACTCACCACAAATAATGTCATTATGACTGGTAGGACACTCAACCACAAATAATGTCATTATGGCTAGTAGGACCCTCACCCACAAATAATGTCATAATGGCTGGCAAGACACTCTCCCACAAATAATGTCATTATGGCTTGAAGAACACTCACCAACAAATAATGTCATTATGACTGGACAAATAATGTCATTATGGCTGGTAGGACACTCACCTACAAATAATGTCATTATGACTGTTAGGACACCCACCCAAAAATAATGTCATTATGGCTGGTAGGACACTCACCCACAAATAATGTCCTTATGGCTAGTAGAACACTCACCCACAAATAATGTCATAATGGCTGGTAGGACACTCACCCACAACTAATGTCATAATGGCTGGTAGGACACTCACCCACAACTAATGTCATAATGGCTGGTAGGACACTCACCCACAACTAATGTCATAATGGCTGGTAGGACACTCACAAACAAATAATGTCATTATGACTGGTAGGACAATCATCAACAAATAATGTCATTATGACTGGTAGGACACTCAACCACAAATAATGTCATTATGGCTAGTAGGAAACTCACCCACAAATAATGTCATTATGGCTAGTAGAACACTCACCCGCAAATAATGTCATTATGACTGGTAGGACACTCACCCACAAATAATGTCATTATGGCTAGTAGGACACTCACCCACAAATAATGTCATTATGACTGGTAGGACACTCACCCACAAATAATGTCATTATGGCTAGTAGAACACTCACCCACAAATAATGTCATTATGACTGGTAGGACACTCACCCACAAATAATGTCATTATGGCTGGTAGGACACTCACCCATAAATAATGTCATAATGACTGGTGGGACACTCGCCAACAAATAATGTCATTATGGCTGGTAGGACACAAATAATGTCATAATGTCATTATGACTGGTAGGACACTCACCCACAAATAATGTCATTATGGCTAGTAGGACAATCACCCACAACTAATGTCATAATGGCTGGCACGACACTCACCCACAAATAATGTCATTATGACTAGTAGGACACTCACCCACAAATAATGTCATAATGGCTGGGACGAAACTCACCCACAAATAATGTCATGATGACTAGTACAACACTCACCTACAAATAATGTCATTATGACTGGTAGGACACCAACCCACAAATAATGTCATTATAATAATGTCATTATGGCTAGTAAAACACTCACCCACAAATAATGTCTTAATGGCTGGTAGGACAATCATCAGCGAATAATGTCATTATGACAGGTACGACAATCACCCACAAATAATGTCATTATGGCTAGTAGAACACTCACTGACATATAATGTCATTATGGCTAGTAGAACACTCACCCACAAATAATGTCATCATGGCTGGTAGGACACTCACCAACAAATAATGTCATTATGACTGGTAGGACACTCACCCACAAATAATGTCACAAAAAATGTCCTGTGTGTTACCAGGTCTAACTAACACATGGTTCTATTGGTAACAATACAATCCTATTTTCCTTTTAGGTTCCGTGGCAGATTTCAGATTGGGATACGGAAGGGTGCTTAGTAGGAAGTCCAAGATAATTGCTATCAACAGGTCCAAGGAACAACTGTATAAGGTACATGTGAACACCGGAACCACCATGATTTCTTGCCCACTTTAGACATTGATGTTGTAAATAATCATTACTATTTGTGTATAATAAGACCCTTTACAGTCTATTACTGATGTATACATTTAATCAGTTTAAATGCAACAACATGTATCAAATAACATGAGTAAGTAGTATGACTTTTCTCCATCACAAGTTTCTGTGTTGATTGACAGAACTCAGACATGTTCTGGAAGCCAACTCTGGCAGTGGAGGCAGACGCAGCCAGCTTTATGGTAGAGGTAGCACGAGGGCTGAAGGGATACAAGTGTGACCCACAGTGGCTACACCAGCTGAAGGACAAGGACACTGTAAAGGAAAAGGCTAACCTGTAAGTTATGGCCTGTCTGTTTCTGTCTCAAGCTCAGGTAACTTACCTAATAAAAAAAGATATATATAAACTTTGGTAATAAAACGTCAAAGTCACACAGTGACACTATTTTAAAGTGTTATGCACATCAGTTTCTAAAAAGGTAATGGCTGGAATGTCATCCAACTTGCTACTAGTGTCTAATATTGAAACTGCTGAGACAAATGTCCAAGGTTTATCTCACAAGGTCATTTTGGTAAAATTAGAGGAAATTTGATTTTTTACGTGATTGGCACCGAGTGAGCAATGATGAACATAATGTAATTTATAAGCATTGTTAACTTACCTGACCTGTCCTCTGTCAACTGTTAACTTACCTGACCTGTCCTCTGTTAACTGTTAACTTACCTGACCTGTCAACTGTTTCTTTAAAAACGCTACAAGTCCTTAAAGGCTCGGTGGAGTTTGACCGAATTTGGTTTGGATCATGCTTAGACAAAGGGTTCTCAATTGTTTTATAAATGTCCCAGGGGGCAGAGGGATGGGCCCAATATGGGAAATAAAGGTAGATCAATCCTTCACCTTCCTGTACATTGAGGAATTTTATCCCCACACTATAAGCAATACACAATTGCTAGGCATAAAAAGAAGAACCAATTCATTTGACCAAAATTGGCCTGTGGAAATCCCCACACCATAACCGTATACATAATTTATCAAACTGCTGGGCATGAAGAATACACTCATACACCTTTGATACAGTATATGGTGTTAGTTTCGTTTTCTTTGTAAAAATGTGGAAGTATGAGGTATTAATTTGTAGCTTTCTGATTATTACATGTTCAATGTTTATAGGGAGAAGGCCAAGGAAGTAACTGACGTCCACCTTAATCCCCTAAAGGTCCTCCACATCACGGAGGAAGTAATGGGAGACAACACAGTGATGGTGGCTGATGGTGGAGACTTTGTGGCTACTGCCTCTTATATCCTACGGTACTGTGTGTCTGACTACACTGCAGGAAATTAATATCTATTTCGTCTTCCATTGTCAGTGGAAAGTAATCTTGTCAAGTTGATCATGAATACCTATAGACTATATAGATGCTTGCCTTAAAGGCATCACAATGAAACCTATCTAAACAGAACACCATAGTTAACCTGTCTAAATAGAACACCACAGTGAAACCTGTCTTAACAGAACACCACAGTGAAACCTGTCTTAACAGAATATCACAGTGACACCTGTCTAAACAGAACACCATAGTTAACCTGTCTAAACAGAACACCAGTGAAACCAGTCTTAACAGAACACCACAGTGAAACCTGTCTTAACAGAATATCACAGTGACACCTGTCTAAACAGAACACCAGTTAAACCAGTCTTTACAGAACATCACAATGAAACCTGTCTAAACAGAACATCAGTTAAACCAGTCTTTACAGAACATCACAGTGAAACCTGTCTAAACAGAACATCAGTGAAACTTAAGTGGATTATCACAGTGAAAACTGTGTATTTTGAACAACACTAGAATCTGTATTAACAGGCTTTTCTTTGAGATGGACATCTACTCTGTTAGACTTAATTTCAAAGGGTTCCTACCGATTTTATTTTAGAAAAGATACATTATATACACTAAATTTATTGGGCATGAATATGTTAAAGACAATGTATTATTTATTGATAAAATTTCACAATATGAGTAACATGTAGTATTCAGATAATATGTTTAATGAGAACTGACCTAGATTCTTTGTCTGCTACAGACCCAGGGGACCTCTCCACTGGCTTGACCCTGGAGCATTTGGAACACTAGGAGTTGGTGGTGGGTTTGCATTGGGGGCGAAACTGTGTCGCCCTGACTGTGACGTCTGGATTATCTACGGTGACGGCTCTCTTGGTTACAGTGTGGCTGAGTTTGAT